GGCGCCCGAGCCTCGGCCGCCGCCGCCGCTGTCCGACGTGTCACTGCGGGGACCCCGCCCCCGGGGTGGGGTCTCAGGCTCAACTACCGGAGAGGGAGGAGAGGGGGAGGTTAAAGGGGAAGGACCCCCGGAAGTGCCCCCTCCTCAGTGCCGGAGAGGGAGACGCTGGGGGCGGAGTCCCTTGCCTCCCCCCGGCGTGGTTGGTGCGTCCCTGGTGACGTCAGGAGCAGCCCGCCCCTGCCTGGATGGTGCGCCCTGAGTGACGTCAGGAGCAGAGGCCGGAGCTGTCCATCAGCACCTAGGGCCGCGGGCGGGATCAGGGCATGGGGCCGCGGCTCTCGGACAGCCCGAACCCCTGCTTCTGCTCCCTTCCCTTCCCCGGGACCGGCTTGAGTCTCCGGACGCCGCGGGACTGGAGTGCCTGCTGGTGTTGGAGGTGGAGCGGCGACGCTGCCGCGCGGAGACCAGTCTCTCCGGTCCAGCAACCCCTTTCCCCGCCCGGCGGACTTTCCCCGGACCCCAATCATTTGGAGCTTCGGGCGCCCCGCAACCCCCGGCCCCTACGGCCCCTGCACAGCCTCTTTTGCTCAGGAGCTCAGGTCGCCCCAAGCCCAGGTAGATGTTGGACAATCCCAGGTTTAGCCTCCCACAGATGAGTCTTCTGGCTGCCTCCCTTCGCCAGCAGCGCACTGCCCGCATCTCCCCTCACTCCACTCAGCCTCCTTTAACTTCATCCCGGGCCCCTCTAGCCAGGCACTTCTGTTTCCCTTTGTCTTTGCTTCCACTTCAGGGATGCTTCCAGAGCTGCATGATGTGGGCTCCACTCCTTTGTCCACTATGTCCTTGCTGATTTCTCCCATTCCCACTCCCACCCTCTTCCCAGGGGGGACCCAGCACTCCTCGTTGACCCCCAACTTCCTCCCTATCAGGTGGACCTGGGAGGGTGACCCCCTTCCGTTCCCACCACTATGCCGGGAACCATGGAGACACTGCGGTTCCAGCTGCTGCCCCCAGAACCAGATGATTCCTTCTGGGGTGCACCCTGTGAACAGCCCCTGGAACGCAGGTACCAAGCACTGCCGGCCCTCGTCTGCATCATGTGCTGTTTGTTTGGAGTCGTCTACTGCTTCTTCGGTGAGATCTCCCTCTGGGCTCCCCACTGGTTTCTCAAGTTCTGTTTCTGAAGCCCCCCAGTCTTCTCTAGAAGCCCCCCGTAAATAATTTCTCCCTTCCTCTTTCACATCTCACGTTTGTAGATCATCTAGAGTAGATTCTAGAGAACACAGGTTTTTTAATTAGACATATAGTACTTGAGTTTGAACCTGGGTCTACCGTACTGTGATGTCTTGGACATATTAACCTATTAGAGTCTGAGTTGTCTCACTTGAACAAAGGACACAATGATATTTGTCTCCTATAGATGTGTTATAAAGATTAGTAGGTATTCAATAAATAGTAACTATTGTAGCAAAGAGGTGTTTGGGTCACTGTGGTAGGGAGGGAATGCTGACAACTTAGCAAGGTTATTAAACATGTCCCCTTACAACAGGGCATACTGTATGATGGGGGAGAGACTCCTGAAATATTCACACTTATGATACATATTAGAGTGGGCTGGATGGTAGTCACACACATGGAGATCGCCTACAAGGCAGGCTCCAGTAACCGAAGCTGGTGAAGAGTACATAGCATGGGTACTGCAAAAGATAGCTCAGTTCAGTTAGGCAAGTGGGAGCTGAAATCCAGCTCACACTCTGCTTGCCAAACTCAAGCCTTTCAGAAGGCCGCCTTTCCTTGTGCAATCTTCCCTAGAGAAAGGTACACCTTTTTCTAATTTGCACAAAGTTATCATATGGGCTAGCAGCAGCCTGGAATAAATACCTAGTGTTTCTACAGCAAGAGTTACAGAACTCCAGAGGGGACAGTGGGTTCTGTGGGCAGAGGCCTAAGGAAGGAACCAGTGGGGTAAAAGAGGCTCGTAGGTTTGGCAGAGGTGAGGCAAGATTTGTCTCTATAACCTTCATACCTCTCTACAGAATGAGTGGGTAGATAGGGCGGGAGCCAGCTGGTCCCTCTCCTCCCTCCCCAAACTCTGGACTGAATCACTGCAGACTGGGAAGCAGAAGGTGCCCCCCTCCACATCCTGCAAGGGCTCAGGACCTGTTCTGGGTCTCCAAAGAATCTGTATCACTTCATCCCCTCCACTTTCTGTACCCAGTCCCTCTGCTGAGTTCTCAGGGTAGCCTCATATTCCTTTCTGTGGGCTTCCCTGACATCATCCCTCTTGGGTTCTCCTACTCAGAGCCCTCATCTAAGGAACCCACTCCTCTCTCAGACCCCAGAATCACCTGGACTTCAACAGTTGTCCTCATTCCTGGAATAGAACCTGCTCTTTATTCTCTTTCTCTTTGGCTCTCTCTGACTTCTTGAGCCCATCCTGACTTCCATTTTCCCAACTACCCCTTCTGTGTCTGTCAAAGGTGCCTAATAGACCTAATAGTTCTAGTGGCCTATAACCTTTTCTTCTGAAACTCCACAACTACTGTTTCCCTCTTTGATTTTCTATACCCCTCCCCCACCTCATTTCTTCCCACCCCTCTGAGTCTTTCTGTGACTGCTAGTTCTGGTCCCTGGTTATTCCTCTCAGATGGGGATCTTAATCCCAATAGCCTTATTGTTGATTCACCTGTCACTACATTAGAATCACAATATTCCCATTTCTCTGGCTTCAGTTCCTCTCTCAAAAGCCCTTTAATACTCTCAGTGATTCAACTTTTACGGACTCCCTGGACCTGCAGACTCCTTCTAGAGTTCATCCCCAATAATCCAGCTCTCTGTCCTCTTTTAACTTTCCAGTAATGCCTTATCTCTGAAGTCCTGTGACACTTCAAAGTACCTGTATGACTGCCATCTCTCAAAGACATTTTTCTGACTTCTAAATACCTCACTTCTGAACTCTCCTTCCCCCAAAAGACCCCTATGACATTGCCAATCTCAGTGTGACCCCGATGACCCCTCTCTCTGAGCCCTGTGACCCCAATGCCCCGTTACTGATTTGCTCAACTCCAGTGATCTGGCTCTGACTCCTCTGACACTTGAAGACCCCAAATCATTATCTCAATGGTTATATCTGCCTTCACAATGAGTCTCAGTGGCCATATCACTCTGACTGCCCTGACCCCAGTGGCCCATCACTGATGCCCTCATGACCCCAGTGACACCCAATTCTCTTAGCGTCCTTGCCCACTGTCGTGGTTCCTCTGGGATCCCATGACCCTGACCCTGCTGACCTCCTCTCTTTAGCCTGATGACCTCCTTGGCCGCTCAATCGTCCCTATTCCCCTGCAGGTTACCGCTGCTTCAAGGCAGTGCTCTTCCTCACGGGGCTGCTGTTTGGCTCAGTGGTCATCTTCCTGCTGTGCTACCGAGAGCGGGTGCTGGAGACACAGCTGAGTGCTGGGGCGAGCACAGGCATCGCGCTGGGCATTGGGCTGCTCTGCGGGCTGGTGGCCATGCTGGTACGCAGTGTGGGCCTCTTCCTGGTGGGGCTGCTGCTCGGTCTGCTGCTCGCTGCCGCTGCCCTGCTGGGCT